AAATTAAATGAAAGTCAAGTTTTATTGTAACACAGCCACACCCATTAGCTTACGTTACGTATTGTCTAGGGCTGCTTTCAGGCTACAAAGGCAGAGTTAAGTAGTTGAGTCAGAGACCATATGGCCCACAAAGCCTACAATATTTACTATCTGGTCCTTTACAGAAAAATTTGGCTGACACCCTGATCTAAAGTCTGGCTTTGAGATTTAGAAAAACCTGAGACAGATAAAAGATAAGAGGAACTTTGTGAAAAGTTATCTAGGATCGGTGCAATCAGGATCAGTCAATTCCTTGGCCAAATATACCTGATCAAGGCTCTGTTGAAGCTGCAAGCAGATCTTTCTAACATAGTTAATTTGTCCCTGGGAAATGTTACTCAAAAAGCCAGGGAGTGAAGAGGACACTGAAAGACACGAAAAACTCTGCAAGACTCCAAACAAGAAGTAATATTCAATTCCACATGAGCTGAGGTGGGAAAGAGTGGATTTAAAGGACAGAGAGAGTTCAATGAGGGTTCACTTATATTTCTTCCCTCACAAAAACCTGGGGTGAGAGAGGGAATCAAAGCCATACTTATATAAAATTCGCCAAGAATACTAAATTGGGACATATTGTAAACATCAGTGACGATGGTGTAATTCTTTGAGTCCAGAATGTAAACTACAGTTTCAATTTTATGATGTGTACCAAACAGCACTCCATGTGTACAAAACAAATGGATGTACAATCTCCAATGTTTTACTAGAAAATGTCTGAAAAATAGTAAATTCTTGAGCACACAGAGCACATGATGAACTAATTAACCCTCTTTGAAACATGATGTGGTAGAGATGGGGATTTATGTCCTGACTGTCCAGATGAGAAAATGGAAAAGAAAGGAAGTTATCCAACTATGGTCACAATGCTGGGGGAAGGGGGAATCTCGGAGTCCTGAATTTTAACCTAGCCCATCCACAGTGCACTTTCTCAGCTGGCTCTATCCTCATCTGAAAATTGATTTTTAAAAGAATGGGAGCTAGGGTTCACCAACTGTTAGGAAGGCAAAATCAAAAGTGCATATGGGTAGAAAGGCATGTTCATTTGCTGATGTAATAGTTTTGACAGTGATGATGTATGTAATTTGTAGAACCATCATCCAAAGTCAAAGCTGGAAAGGCATATTAAAAATAACTGGGGGCACCTGGGTGGCTCAGTCTATTAAGCATCCAGCTCCTGGTTTTGGCTCAGGTCATGATCTCAGGGTCATGAAATGGAGCCCGGCATCAGGCTCCACACTGGGCGTGGAGCCTGCTTGGGATTGTCTCTCTCTTCTCCTCCCCCCCACTCAAGCTCACTCTCTCTCTCTAAAAAAAAAAAAAAAAAAAAAAAATCTAGCTTAAGTCCCTTATTTTACAGACAGAGAAAACCGAAGTCTAAATAGGAAAATTAATTATTCAAAGCCAGACAACTAAAAGCCCTCTGAGCCCATACTTCTGTGTATGGGCATCACCTTCCTTTGATTTCCTGGCCTTTTAGATGCCATTCAACATGCCTTCCCCTGTCACCTCCCTGCTCATCCCATCACCCCACCAACTAGCTGATTCTCCTCATGCCTATTTCTAGCCCACAGAACGTCCTCCAACTGCACGAGCATGTATGCACACGTACACGCACACACACACAAACACATACTGAGTTTTCACCAACCAGATTTTAGTGATTTTACCCCCATGGCCTAGCATCATTTTTTTTTAATCTCAAAATATGCAGCTACCTCCCTGACTAGCCTAATCATCACCCCAAACTCCCAGAATCACTGACAATGAGAAAATGTGGGGCTCTCTCCTCTTCCTCCTCCTCAATAGGAAAACCTGGCTAGATTACAATTGACTCTGTGCTGAGCCTTGCACCAGTGACAGCATTAAAGCCTCATGCTTTATGAACTACCAAAGCTAGAAATGGATTTCTGTCTGACATGCCAGGCTTTTAAGTCTTGTACCTGTGCCCAGTCCAGAGATTTCTGAAACCATGAATAAAGTGGTAATCAACACTCTGAATACTCAGTCTGACTTAACTGACAACAACAAACAAATGAGGAAAAGAAAGATTTGTGTTCCCACTCTCTCCAAGACAGGTGGAATTCCAAGTTTCAACAAGGCAGATTCTGAATCACTTTCATAAAGGCCATTGGGGTGATAAGGACACATTGTAAAAATGGGGGAAAAAACAAATCAATAAATGTTCTCTGTGGATAATAAGACAGCCCGTTGCCTTCAAACGGAGATAATGACAGCAGTAAACTCCAGCCAACAAGCTTTACAGGTGGGAGAAGAAAGAAAATGCCTTTTTTTTTCTTTTTTGCTTTGTTTTGTTTTTCTTGTGTGTGTGTGTGTGTGTGTGTGTGTGTGTGTGTGTGTGTGTTTAACCACCTTCTATCCCTCAAAGGACTCAGGACTGGAATCTGGGGTTCATATTCCAAAGGAACCAAGGGGTTTGTAGCTTTTTAAGAAATCCATTTGTGACTTTTTGTATTTCAAGCAGTCGAGAGTATTTGGCCCCATGGGCTCAAAGAGGCTCATTTTCTCAAAGAAAAAACTACGAAGTTTCCCTAACTTAAGCGATTTGAGGGTCTAGAGCATTTTGAGACCTTGCTGGATTTCCCAGTATTCTGTAAGTTGAGTGAGTACCCCTTTCCGCTTCCTTATTCTCAAATAGCCCAAGACCCACCTCTAGCCCAGCTCCTCCCAGGAAGCCCTGACAACTGCCATTCTGCCCTTCTTCCTCCTTCAGCCCTAACTTCGGCAGAAAGCTCCCATGTGGGATATGTTATGACAGCAAAATAGTCCCTTTTACAATATGTTTGACCACTTTCCCGGTTTTCCAAAAATAACAATATTGTGACCCAGATCTGTAAAGCCCAGAGGCAGTATCAAATACAATCTAATCTATCTGACTATTGAGGTTGCTTGTTCAGTTGCATACTTGAACACTTCCCCCAACTGATAATGGCTGCTATTACTGTGGTGCCTGGGCTTACTGATATACTATCTCTAGATGAGTGCTCTAGTGTATTCTCTGCTCTACAGGCAGGGCCTACTGGATGCTGGGGTTGGGGGAGGAAGCACATTCTCACTGGGGAAATTGGGGGGATCTGCTGTCTTTGGGCTGTTGCTTACTTTCTTTTGACAGCCATCCTTCTTACACTAGTATAAGCTAGTATACCTTATCTAGCTCGGCACAAGCAGTAGCAATAGGCCACTTGGGGGTATGGAAGGAACATGCAGCATGTTTTCAGTAATACTAAAAGCTGTCTCCTTGTTGCTTTGGGGACTGGAAGAAAACAAAATAACAATTTTCTGTTTTGTAAGTATTCCTGCCACCAGTCTAAAATGATGAAAAGGCAACCGTTCCAATTGGCTGTCAATGGGAAAACCAGTAAAGGACACCTGCTTTGCACCTTTTATCTAAATGCCAAGAACTCCCTGGAGCTTCTGTTGTCCTCTGGTGGACATTTCTGGTGAAAGGTGTGGCTTATATACCTGCCACTTTTAAGAGTGTCCTCAGGGTTTGTAGCCCTTAACTAAGGAAAGACTGTTTCTGTTCTGACTTGGAACTCAATACCTCTAGGCCAGTGAGAGAGAAGGAAAGGTTTTGGCAGGAAGTATTTCCTTTGTGGAAAGTGGAAATAGGAGTAGATACTGGTGTTTGGCAACTGGGTTTGCCCCCAGAGCAGAGCATGTCTGTCTAGGGGCTGCTTATCAGTGTCCCGTTGGGAAAAGAAGCCCTTAGTACAGGATGGAGAATGAAGAGGATGAGTAGGAGGTTTGAGCCCAGGTTGATTGGGAAGGAAGGAATCACTAGCATATATGGGAAGTCTGGAAATGGGAGTTCTTGCTGTAGCATGTAGGCTGAGCACCTCTAGGAGCTGATCAGACCTGAATTGTTCTAAGCTAAATAAGACTAAGTAGCCAGGGCTTGAGCCTACTTAGCCAAATATAAGAAGCAACTTAGCATGAGGTGCTATATCAATGGATAGACCCTGAGGAAAAGTCTATGGAGAGAATAAAGGAGTTTTTATCACTCGGGCTCCCTATTTACCTAGGGGCCATTGATGCAAAGAAGTCCCAATGAGACAGCAGCAGGAGGGAGCAGGCGCACAGACTGATGGTCTGCTGAACAGCAAGAACACTTCCTTTCTGGGGCTGAGGCCAAGGAGACTTTGTGAAGGAATAGTCCCACATACACTATAGAGAATGGGTGGGGACTCAGTTGGGGTTTCTCCACTTCTAACTTCTCTAATCAAGACATTTTCCCCCCTCACTCCACAGCAGAGTGAAACACAAGCAGGGAAGGAGTTAAAACTTTTCGAATCATTAATTTTCTTCCATTCCTAGGACTGCCCCAAGCTCTAAGCACCAGATAGAATCACTGTCATTGACTACATTGCCTGTACTACCAAGGTTGCCAAAACCAGGGGACCAGCGAATTAAAAAAAAAAAAAAAAAACAGAAAAAAACAAACAACAACAACAACAACAAAACCTTCTTCTTTAGGTTCTTAGGTTCTTTGAGAGGGTCCCACCAGTGACCTTGTCTCTGAGATGATAAAATCCTGGGCTCTGGAAGATTGGTGTCTCTCAACAGAAGATAAAGGAGAGAGGGAAAAAGAAGTGAGTGTGCAAGACCCTTTACCTTCAGCGGCTCTTTTAAAGAAGACTTTGCAGCTTCCACAAGTGAGAGCTCCATAGTGACAGCCAGAAGCTTCATCACCGCAGATCAGGCAGGTCTTCTGGGGTGGAAAGTAATAGTCAATGGGTAGAACATGGTCCCTGGCAGTCTCCAAACTGAAAAGACACATGAGAAACAATGAAATAAATGGCAGTGGCTGGCAGAGATAAGAGCACAGAAGTCTGAGGTCTTCAGGAGCAAACTTACCTGTGTAAATTATTAATTTTTATAAAATAAAATTATTCCTTACTTAATTGAGTCAGTGTGAAGCTGATTTTTTTCCGGTACTTCTAGGGATGATGTTTATAGGGTTTCCTGTCATGTAGACAGAGCCTTTTTGCATCCTGCTAAGGAATTCAAGAAGTTCTCTGGGATCAGCCAGTCTCATGGGCTAAGTTTACATGAAGGAAGGATGAAGACAGAAACCTGAGGTTAAGGTATCTAACTTAAGGTGGTTCTGGCAAAAATTTCAGAGCAGTTAAATGGTTATGAACCCAGCTCTATGGCCTTTCCTTATCCAAAGGGAGATCTAAGGCAAAAAAAGTCTTAACAAAACAGTTTGGTATTGCTTTGCTCTAAGCCTCACTCTCACCTGTCAATAATATTGCCCATCCTACTGAGCTACTGTTCTGAGTGGCAGTATAAATTGTATAAAAGGATAAAAATCCTTTAAAATGAATACACAAGTGAGGGATCATGATTCATGTTATCATACCAGTCTGATTTGGTCTTCTCCTGCCCCCCATTCCTTCACTTTCCTTAGCCATCTCTTTGTAGATCACGTGAACATCCCCTCACCATTCTACAACACAAAGTAGCAGAATCCTTTTTTAAAGATTTTATTTATTTATTTATTTGACAGAGAGAGACACAGTGAGAGAGGGAACACAAGCAGGGGGAGTGGGAGAGGGAGAAGCAGGCTTCCCGCTGAGCGGAGAGCCTGATGCAGGGCTCGTCGATCCCAGGACCCCGAGATCATGACCAGACACTTAATGACTGAGCCACCCAGGGGCCCCTGGCAGAATCCTTGTGCCTGAGGCTCTTGTTGGGAAATGATACGCAGGGATGCTGGAAATTTCTCACGCTACCATCTCAACACTTGGCCATTAAAATACTCATAGGGTCCTTAGGCTAGGATGGAGCTTCAGGGGTCACCTAGTCTAAACTTCCTATCTCTAAGAAGATCTGTGTCTGAGTCCTTTCAGATGGATGTGAAGGAGAGGGTCAGAAAGCCAATCCTGAAACCCTAAAAGGAGTGCAATTCTGAGTCTCCCATAGTAATTAATTCAAGATTAAACAAATGAAACACGGTTCTTCTAAGCACAGGTCACATTTTTTTTTCTCTCCGATGCTCTATGTCTAAGCATTGAACAAAACTCGAGGGGGGGCGCCTGGGTGGCTCAGTCCTTAAGCATCTGCCTTCGGCTCGGGTCATGATCCCAGGGTCCTGGGATCGAGCCCCACATTGGGCTCCCTGCTCAGCGGGGAGTCAGCTTCTCCCTCTCCCACTCCCCCTGCTTGTGTTCCCTCTCACACTGTGTCTCTGTCAAATAAATAAATAAATAAATAAAATCTTAAAAAAAAAACAAAACTCGAGGGACCTCCTGAGTTAATCTGCCTAAGGTAGATGACAATTGCCCATATTCTCAACTACAGGAATACAGCCATATTTTTTTTATGAGCACTTCTTCCTTACTAAGGAAGGAAGGAAGGAAAATAAGCCTTAATGACAGCTACTTGCTGTGTTGGGTGATTTCTACACTTCAAAACAACTCTGAGAAACATTTTTTTTTTCTCATTATATCATATGAAGAAAGATTCAGAGAGGTGAAACCCAAAATGATTTGACAGCAAGCCCAGGATATCTGGCTCCGAATCCAATACAGTTTTCATTATCCTATCATCTTCCTGCCACTCTCTCACTTTCTACACATGGCTCTTTGATTATCATGCTCAGCATAGTCATCAGAATCCAAAAAAGCATGAAATGTTATCCACCCCTCAATAACCATCGATCAGCCCTGGCAGGGCAAGAGCAAAGAAAATTTTTGCTTAAGCTATAGTTGACAAGCACTTTACCTCTAAGACACAAATATTAGCCTTTATTTAAGTCCCAAGTACAACAGAAAGCACTCAAAAAGTTTGGCTGATATGCAAACCCAGCAGCTGGCTACGGTTGCCTATCTTTTCCCCCGACAAGCTCTCCTTTTCCTAATTTGACTTTGGAAAGCCAGCAGGAGTTTGTCCACCAAACCAAGACTAGCAGGACCACAAGTTCCACAGGAAAATAGCTCACTTCCCATATATAAATGGGCCAAATGTTAAGAGCATCATTCCTTTGGCTAAAAATGTCATTTCCCTGGGTAAAAAATGTATCCCCATCCTCATTCATGAAACAAGGAGAAGCAGAAGTTTTTTGTTTTTATTTTTTGCAAGTGTCTTCATCCTCTTCCCTCTTTTTTTGACTTCTGGAACTAATGCAAGCCATTCAAATAAAGTAAAAAAAAAAACAAAACAAAACACAGAACATGTATTTAGGCACTTTATGTGCCTGGCCATTTCATATATATCATCTCACTTAATCTCCCCCCAAAACCCTGCCAGGTAGCTCCGTATCATCTCTATATTGTAGGAGAGGAAGCTGATGTTCAGGAAAATTGAACATGTTCAAGACCACTCATCTCATAAGTGGGAATGCCAGATTCCATCCTAGCGAAGTCTGACTCCAAAGTGCCGATTCATAACCCATGACTAACCATGTTATAAAATTGAAGGTTGAAATTAGATTTGACTCAACTCCCAGCACCTAGCCCTATGAACCAAGCAAAGGGCTAGGTGCTGGGGATATTGTGACAATCGATACATTATTCTTGCCTCTAAGAAACCTACTATCTAGTAGAGAAGACAGACAGGAAGCAAGAAACTGTAAAATAACATAGTAGATGATATAATAAAGCAGAGTACAGATTGCTGCAGATGAGGAAGCACCTTAAAGACATGAATGTTTTTTGGAAGGTATAAAGGTATATAGGGGTAAATGAAACGACGATGATAATGATAGTAATTTTTATCATATGATTGGAAAATAAATATTAGATATACAATATGGAAACCTGAACAAATAAGAGGTCTTTTTGAAAAGAGCCTTTAAGGAACAGAAATTTTCATCCATTTTAAAATACAGTTCAGGGTGCCTGGGTGGCTCAGGTGGTTAAGCGTCTGCCTTCGGCTCAGGTCATGATCCCAGAGTCCTGGAATCGAGTCCCACATCGGGCTCCCTGCTCAGTGGGGAGCCTGCTTCTCCCTCTGCTTCTCTCTCTCTCTCTCTCTGTGTCTCTCATGAATAAATAAATAAAATCTTTAAAAAAAATACAGTTCAAATTGTTCAAAATAATCTAATCAAATTTATAATCAATGCTTAAAGACTAAAGAAAGTCATCAATATTTTATTAGATATAAGTTTAATAAAATGCACTATTTACAAAAATAACTATAAAAAGGAGGAAGAAGAAGAGAAATAATAAAGACAATTTTAGAATCTGAACTTTTCCTAATGACAACCCATTTTGACTAAAGGCTATCTGTTAAACTCTCCAGGCTGGTGTCTGCCTACCTATCCCTCCTTTTTCTGGCAAAATATTTTGGATAGCACTCTCACTGACCCTGGCCTAGGGTGGACAAAAGGCACATTTCAGTTCTGCCTCATGGGCTGAACTTTGGGTATTGGAAATGAAAATTGCAACCAGAGTCTCTATCCCAGGTTTATATCCTAGAGAAACTCATGCACATTTGTACCGGGAAGCATGTGTGGGAATGGTCATAGCAGCTTCATTAACAAAAGCAGAAATGATAAACATCCACTAAGAGGGGGCGCCTGGGTGGCTCAGTTGTTAAGCGTCTGCCTTCGGCTCTGGTCATGATCCCAGGGTCCTGGGATCGGGCTCCCTGCTCATCGGGGAGCCTGCTTCTCCCTCTCCCCACTCTCCCCTCCCCGCTCCCCCCTCCCCGCTCGTGCTCTCTCTCTCTCTCTCGCCATCTCTCTCTCAAATAAATAAATAAAAATCTTAAAAAAAATTCACTAAGAGGAGAAAGGATAAATTACAGCATGCTCATTCAATAAACCACAATTCAGCAATGACAAGGAAGAGAATACAGGTACACATAGGTAAATCTCACAAGCTAATGTTGCATAAAAGACATAAATCACAATAGCCTACATATTATATGATTCCATTACAGTTCCAAAAAAAGGCA